GAAAACTGGGCCGATACAGTATCCATTCCAAACCCAGAACAGTCCTCTGCACAGCACAGCTGAAACAGATGGCCTGCTTGTTTCCTTCGGACATTCGGATATTTATTTTTTTCGTTTATATCGCAGGAATTGTTAATAGAGTGGAAATGGAGTAACTTAGCACAGTTTCATGGGCTAGATACTAGATGGCACTTCCCGTACCCACTGTGGCACAGAAAAGAAAAGCAGGTACCTACCTTGCCTTTAACACACAGGCTACATCCCACTAGGTGATGCAACTCCTTTTCCTTTAGTTTGGAATGTAACTTTTCCACTTATGTGTAAACAGGAGTTAGTGGAACAAAACAAGCAACAACGTCCCAGGCTCTGGTGTTACAAAGACTTTACAAACATCCATTAGTCTCTTAAAATAGTGAGGAGCCAAGCCTCACTCCTTCCCCTTAAGCTAAACCTCCACAAATCTAGTCCTTTTCTTTTTCTTTTTTTTTTTTTTTTTTTTGTAATCAGCGCGCTCAATGCTATGAAGAACAACAGGTATGATCCTATGTGAACACACTAGGTTTCCAAGTGTTAAAACCTATATTAGCATCACTGATACTATAGTTGTCCTTTGAATTAGTAGATTCCATCTGAAGCACTTGAAGGAAGACTTTAAGCCTGAACCTCAAAAGACAGCTTAAATACTTACAAAAAATTCAAATAAAGTAGCTACACCTTTTTTTTTTTTAAAGCTTATGTTTCCAAAGCAACCTCCAAAAGCTGCCTCTTTTCAGGCCAAGAGCAACGCAGCTCTTGCTTTAGAATGAGGACCCACACAAGGTGCACACACACCACTATAAGTCACAGAGCAGGAATCCCAGGAGCCCAGAACCCAGTGTCCCTGAGCACTAGATACGTGGGTGGTGCCAAACGCCACTCACACCCAGACCTATACTTAGGAAAACTTGAAGACCTTAGGAGTCTAGGGCCTGCAGCTCCATTCATCCTGCACTGATGTGCCTGTACTCCAGGTTGGACACAGCCAACAGGAAGAACCCAGCCTGTCCTCTTGGATGGTATCCAGATGGAGAAGCATGTCACAGTCAGAAGTCAACATTCTCGCAGCAGTATTTGATGAAAATAAAAGGGGTACTGGACGACCCATGGGAAAAGTTGCTTTCTGGTTTAGAGTTATGCAAACATCAAATATCAGCAGGAATCATTTCTATAGTCACTAAGCACACCTTCGACATAAAATGAATCATCCTTCTGGCACTTTTCAAGCCCCCAGAGGGAATATCTGCATGCCAAGTAAGTGTCCAAAAATGCACACATATACTTAACCTGCATCTACACAGAAGATAGAAAAGGGCTGCTATTACCCTGAACATCAAAAAGGCTTACTTACAGTAACTTCAGTTCCCTTTAAAGCTCCTTACCCAGGCTCTCTGCCTTCAACTCTGAGTCCCAGTCACATCTCTTCAGGTTTTTCACCGGATCTCAATGAAATCAAAGGGAGAAACTAAGCAGATTTTCTGGGGGCATTCTGCGCCATTGGTAACAATGGAACAACACTATAAAGATCTTGTTGAACAAGAAAGGCAATTCACCATGCAGTCCCCTAAAACGCTTGAAGCGCTCAACACACTGGCCGAGCCTTTCGGGGCGACACCAAATTACAAGCTGAACAAGCTCAATGGTTCATCTGCACCCTGCCCAGCAATTCTTGTCCTTCGGAATTAATGTTACACGAAAGGCCCAGTAGTGTACTTGCATGAGAAGAAACCTAATTTTTCTGAAAAAAAAAAAAACCGGTTTTCATTCATTTCCTACAGACGTTCCGTAAGGGCGAACGCGCCCTCACGAGGGATGTCCGCGCGTGTTCACTGTGCCTAGTGGGGCGAAACGAAGGCCAACAAACCCGCGTCGGCCCTGGAGACTGCTAAGTACGAGGCAGCGGGAAACCCACCCCCCAGGGAAGCAGTGCTTTCCGCGGAAGGAGGAGAGTCATCACACCCTGGCCCTGTTCCTCGATCCCCCAACAGCTCGCCCAGGGGCTGCTCGGGCGAGAGGGGGGCCCTCCCGCGATGCCCGGCTCCTGGCTTTCCGTGGAAGGCAGCGAACACTGAGGTTCTCCGCCCCAACAACTGCTCTCCATCTCCGCCTAAGTCGCAGCTCCGCAGTCCCGGGAGCAGTGCAGACTCCCTGGTGAACACACCCCTGCAGGCCAACGTGCCCTGAAACCCGCGGCGCCCGCAACAGGTAGGGGCAGTGGGGAAACTTACGGCAGTGGCGACTGGCCTCAGTGCACAGCTAGCTGTGTTCTTGCCTGGGTCACCCGGCCGGGAGGCGACGAAGCGGACGTCTCAGTCCTTGGGAGCCGTAGCGACTGCCCGGGCGAAAGGGGTGCGCATGAGGCGCAGGCCGTGGAGAGGAGAGGACCGTGCCCAGGGCGCTGGCTCCGGCCGGCTACAGCTGGCGGTTCGCCTTAGCCTCACGAGCTGCACACCGCAGACTCTGTCCGCTACCGGTGGAGAGTCTCCGGGGAGCGAGTCTCGGGAGGAGATGCGAGCCTGCGGCTACAGGCGCCGCGGAAGGAGGCGGGCTGGAAGTACAGCCGGGGGAGGGAGATAGAAAGCGCTCTGCGCGCCGGCGGCCGCCTGGCGTCTGGACTGGGTCTCCGCACCGCCACCGCCGCGCCGCCTCTCTGGCTGCTGGAGCAGTCTGCGCCCGGCCGCGGTGCGCCGGGCTATAAGTGGGGCGGTGCGACTGGGAGGGGAGGGGAGGAGGGGAGGGGAAAGGGTGCGTTCGCCGAGAGTGACACCAGGAGAGGGAGGGAGGGAGCGCTAGGGGGCCGCCCGCTGAGGAGAAGGAGAGAGCTGGAGAAGAGCGTTTGTTGGGGGAGTTATTAGAGAGAGGAAGCGGGGGAGGGGGCCTTGGAGAGTGGAGACAAAGCGGACACGCTATCTCTGCCATAAGCGAGCAGCTGCAGCCCTTGGGGACCGTGAGCGAAACAAGTTTTCCCAGGTCGGAGTGTCTGAACTGCTCTGGCCCAGCCAGTTTAATGGATAGCCCCGGAGCCGACCGACTCTAGGCAGGGGAGTGCAGCCCTGAGCTGTGCGCCTCGCGCTGCTTGAGCCCGGTAGATGCTTAAGAAGGGCGGCCAGGAGCTAGCTCGGGACAGCCCGCTCGCTAGGTGGGACACCTGGAGGGGAGGACAGTGTGGAGAAGAGGGGCCCAAGTTTGGACACTCCGGGGACACTGCAGGTTGGGCAAAGCCGGGCGATAGAATTTCTCGTTGGCAGGAGGGACACAGACCCAAACCCCAGGCGCTCCCCCATGGCCAGCCTCCCCAGCCCTAGTGGGTGCGGCGGCCACCTCCGGACCCTGCGCTGCGCCCGCCGGAGCCGCAGCGCCACCGGGAGCCGCGGCCGCGCTCAGTCCGCCGGGCGCGCCCACGTGCTTCGCAGCCAATCGCCGGGGCCGCTTGATTCAAAGCGAACTGCTCAAAGGAGCCGCTACGCCGCCCCCTCCCGCCCGCGATAAAGCCTCAATCACCCACTCAGAATGGACCCTTCCCGTCTTTTATCGCTCAGTTGTGCTAGTTTAGAGTTCGGCAAAGAAACGGCCCGGCGCGCACAGGTCTGAAGCGCCCCGTGCCGGGGGGAAAAAGAAGGCGATTCGAAAATAACCAGGCAGTTCGATCACCGGTTATGAAACCCATTCTCGAGCTTTGTACTTAACACTGGGAGCAAAAACATCTGTTGTTTTGGTTGGTTGGTTGGTTTGGTTTGGTTAGGATTTGGAATTAAATCCATGAACTAACTGTAGAGATTACAGTCCAGCCCGCTCGTTTTACAAGTCAGGAAACCGAGGCCCAGGTGCCTGAATTGCCCGACTCCAGGTAACACAGCCAGGTCCCCGCGCCCCTGGCCCCCAGCTTTCTTTCGGGCGCTGGTCGCAGCGATGATTCGTACCGGCCGAGGAGGCCCTGCCTGGCGCTCCCAGAGTCCGGAGACTGCTGAAGCTCGTTACTGCGATCCCACTTTTCTTCACCCGCGGTTCCTCCTGGTATTCGCGCTGAGAAATCTCGCTCCTCGCAAACAAAGAAAGACAGTGCCCTCTGAAGTCCTTTGTTAGCATTAAGTCGTCAGCCTCACCACGAGCTTTTACCAATCTGTTTCATATTTTAAATTCCTATGCAGAGTCTCAGCTCCACGCTGCTTCACGAAGCCAGAGGCGGCCGGGTCGGTTCACCGTAAGAACCACGTGGAGACTGTAGAGCGCCCGGAGCAGCCCCTGTTCCCGAAGGGGCCGTGGGTACAGTCCGGGGAGACCAAAAGAATAGAAACGCGGTGGCCACTAGAGATAGGTGCTGAAAAAATGGGAGGTGGGCATGTGTAGCTATTGCTCGTGTCATTTAAAAGGGCGCCTCTGCAGCCCGTCACAAGGTTTCGGGGAGACCGATGGGGGGGGCCTCCGGCCGCCCAGTAAAAGTACTTTGTCTGTCTAGGGGGCAGGTCAAAAGCAAGCAGGCGGGTCTTGAAGACCAAATGTTAATGTCCTCCTTTGGGAGGGAATATTCTGTTTCATTTAAGAGATTAACACTTCCTCTCAGGAAGAAGTATTTCCTTCTACCACTGTCACTTAGTCAAGTTTACCTAGAACCTCACCTAGACGACCCTGCCCAGCCCGACACCTGCACACAGCTCAGTTGTCGGGTGTGGGTTTGGTCAGAGGAGGCCGCGGGAGCGGGTCTGTGTCGGGTCTTCACCACCTGGAAACCGCAGTGTCCTTAACCAAGGGCACGGCCACGTTTTCTTCCCCTCGAAAATAGCTATGCCGAGAGGGAGGGGCGCGCCGGGGCCATTTTCCCGCCTCGGCTCTACCTCATGCAGCCCCCTTTCCGCGCTTCCAGAGAAGAGAAGGGGGAAATGCTGTGGCCTGGAAAACCTTGAAATGCATTCAGTGGCCATATGTATACATTTGCTTCATCTGCCTCACGGAGACAGTCCACGCGAGGCAGGGAAAAGAAATTGGCTCTATCAATGGGTTACAAAACTGGAAGACATTTTTCTGCTGAAAGACACAGTAACTAAACTCGCTTGGGGGGGACTGTGTGTGCTGCAGGGGAGCTCCCCCAAACCGCACACCGCACACCGGTTTGCTGGAACCCACGTGCGGCAAGTTCTCAGCCTGTGTGCAGGGTCTAATGTTTATTTCACAGCTGAAAGTGATTTGCAATTTAGCATATTTATGATCACAACACAAACCGTGTTATTTTCCAACATTTCGCAGCCGGTTCTAAAGGTAATTCTTGTCATTTCACCCCAAGGAAGAAAAAAATAGCAAGACTTCTGTCTTTGCAGGAAAAACCCTCTGGACAGGCCTGCGATCACACTGGACGGCCATCGACATAGCCCATATCTGAGTCGCAGGCGACTCAGGAAGCCCCGCAGACGCCCGTGTCATTCAGTGGCCACCACCTCACTCAAGATGTCAGGCTGGTCCTGCCAGCTCCTGGGAGCTGGTCTTCAGCTCTGCCTTGTGACACCAAACCAAGGTCTCATTTTTAATGCTATTAAGAAGCTGTGCTCATGGCTTTGGCCTTGTTATCTGTCTTAACAGCGTTACTTTGTTAGGCTGCAAAATAAGCAGCATGGGGTTAAATGTATTAGCTGCCTTCAAACCTAATTTATCTTCATTCCTTCCTAATTTACACTCGGGCTGAATTAATGAGAATGATTTAATTAACATGGTGCGACCATGGTACCAGGGACAGACTGTGGGCTAAGCAGCTGCCACCCTGCCTCCCAGGTCCCCTGCAGCCCCGCCCGCGTTTCAGACGTGTACCCACCAGTCCTCCAGAAGGGTCCTCTTTGTTCTTTGATCCACGTCCTGGGTCTGTGCGAAGAGGACGCGCAGCCTTCCTTCCTTGTGTTATTTGTGAGATGAGCTTCAAGGCTGTGGCCTTGCAGTCAGTGCGGCAGAGGGGCCGGCGGCCACCAGAGATGGGTGTTCTCCCTCCCTGGTGGTGGGGTTCGTGCTGGGAAGTGACACCCGGCCAGAGGCGACGACCCCCTGGCTTCACTCTGTGCTGGGATCGGCAGCTGTGGGAGGAAAGGAAGGGAAGCAGGACAGGCAGAGGGAGGCGCTAAGCTGGAACCAGCCTCAGCTGAGTGGGGAGCGCCCTGCGGATTGATCCCGGCGAAGGCGAGGCCAGGTTTCTGGGGTGGCGTTTTCCCAGTGTCCGAAGGCAGGCTGCCCAGGAAAGGGGCAGGGACTCGGTCAAGGCAGCCTGCTTCCAGGGGCAGTTCTGAAGGTGGGCAGCTTTGCCTCCTGCTGGCACCCCCAAAGCTGGGGGAAGAAGCCCTTGGTTCTGGCAGGAACACAGAAGTGGGGGGTCAGTGAGGTGCCCACTTCAACACCCTGCCCTCACAGAGATGCACGAACCCGGGAAAGTGAGACCCCAGCTGCTTATCGGCCTCCCCTTTCAAAAAGAGGGACGTGTACATACGGATTTTAAAGAGAAGGATAAGGAAAGAGGTCATCGATACAAAAGCTACCAGCATTGGATACGTTACTTATTTTGTTTCTGAGGTGAACAAAAGAGCTTAACTGATAGTCAGTTTTCTAAATTTTAGTTTGCCACCTTCTGCATTTATGCCTTTTTAACTGACCTTGTATTAAATATGTTACCATAAACCTTGAGAGTATTCTTTAAAAAAAGATTTTTATTTATTTTTAGAGAGAGGGGGAAGGAAGGAGAAAGACAGGGAGGGAAACATCAATGTGTGGTTGTCTCTCATGTGTTCCCTACTGGGGACCCGGCCTGCAACCCAGACATGTGCCCTGACTGGGAATCGAACCAGTGACCCTTTGGTTCCCAGGCCCCCGCTCAATCCACTGACCTACACCAGCCTGGGTGAGAGCATTCTTAAAATTGTATCCAAATCGGCTTGGTCAGATTTAAATTTTTCAGTTGCTTCCTACATTCATTACATGTATGTTATGAATTAAATTGGATGATGGTATGACTTTTACATTTCAAATTTCAATTTTTCACTGCTGAAATAGTATACAGTGGATTTTTCCATTATGACTTTTAATGGCGTGTGCCCTGCGAAAGTGTATTTGTGCCCTTCCATTGCTAAGCTCCTCCATTCAGGGCTGTCAGAGCGGGTACATTCATTCTTCCTGTGAGACTCTGACGCCTCGTCCAGCCCCGAGCCACAAGCGGCACTGCAGAGGGACACACTGTCACTTTTCCTTGGTGACTATTTATAAAATTTGGCCATTAGTAAATCAAAATGTCTAGGCTGCTCATGTCATTTCCCCCTCAGAGCCCCTGGGGACAATGACCTTCCCAGACTGTTGAAAGTCACGGATTTTAGAGTCAGGACTTTAAAGCAGGCCTTGACCATGTTCTTGCTGATTACAGAAGTGATACATGGTGCAAATTTGGGAGACACAAAAATGTAAAAGAAAAAAATTAACCGTAGCCCACCACTTGGAGAAAAGGACATTAGCCTTTAAATTCTAGTCTTTCTGTGTATACGCAGTGTTTTTATTTTTAGCATTTAAGTGCTTAAGGGCAGAGTCTCTAGAACCAAGCCTGAATTTCCGCTTATACCTTTACTGGCAGGGTGTTTGGGGGCAGGGACTGCAGTATCTTGGAGCCTTAGTTCCCCAGTTTGTAGTAGTAGACAGTGACGGTGCCCAGCTCCGAGGGCTGCCCAGCGGGTATGTAAACGATCACACACACAGAGCAGTGCCCGGCTTGTGGGAAGTTCCATGTACTGTTTGCTTTTATGATTCCTTGGTAAGCTCTTTAAGGAGAGTGGTCCTATAACCACCCCCCATAACTATATCCTAGTAACTCTCCTAAATAAAAGTGACTTGAATCCTTTTCCCAAGCCTGACTGGTGTGGCTCAGTGGGTTGGATGTGATCCCACAGACGGAAAGGTCAATGGCTCGATGCCCCGTCAGGGCACGTGCCTGCGTCGCAGGCTCGTCCCCGGCTGGTGGCGCGTGAGAGGCAGTTGATTGGTGTTTCGCTGGCACATCCACGTCTACGTTTCTCTCCCTCTTCTCTCCCTCCCTTCCCCTCACTCTAAAAATAAAAATTAAAACAATTTAAAAAATAAAACAATGAAAAAGTCCCCATTCCCATACCTGCCCAGTAGCACTTCGGCCTCGAGTGACTTCACACTCGTGGCGTGTGTGCCCGAGGCTCCGCTCTTCCCGCACACACCCAGGAACCCGCTCGCTTGTGCCGTGGCAGCTCAGGTGCGTGGGATTTGCCTTTGTCTCCCTCCATCTGTCACCGACACGGTCTTCACGTTTTGTCTTAGGGCCATCAGTCTTCAGTTGATGGTGGAGAGAGGACCCCTTACTCCCAAATGAAGAAATCACACCTGAGGCAGAAGGCCGCCGGCCGAGACAGAGCACCCGTGGAACGCAGACGCGACCGTCCCCTGCCCCACGTCCTGGAGGGCGCACTTGGTGAGAGCTCACGTCTACCAGGGTCACACCAGGCCTCCGTGGGGTTTGGCCTTTTGTGGCCCAGGGGCATCTTAGACCATCCCTCTCCTATTTTCCATGTTCTTTTGAGTGCCTGGAGGCTCCTGGATCTAAACTCTTAATTTGTTCTAAGTAATTACATTAAAGAATTGACCGTTGTTCTGAGCAGTGAAAATGAAGGTTTTGTTTGGCCTGTGTGCTTTGCTTCCAGGGCATGATGCCAAGTCTCGGAGCATGTCTGGGCATGAAGAAGGGACCAGAAGAAGGGACCTTTGTGGTCCAAGAGCTTGTACCTTTGAATGAATATTAAAAGGATTTTATGGCATTCTGCAAGCACAGACTTTACTCACTGCAAGCCATTCAGCTTCGACGGGGGTCTGCAAGCTGTGAGTTAATGTTACCAGAACGAAGGAAGAGTGGAAAAGGCAAGAGGGACGCTGATGCGTGTGCTGTCTTCAAGTTCCCAGGACCGTCCCTCCTCATCGCGGCGAAAATGCAGCGTGAGCAGGGGTAACTCCCAGACAAAGCATTCACTGGAAGATCCCAAATACAGTTGGAAGACTTGCTACTCCTTTATCGGAGGACGTGTGGGGAGCTTAGGAGGAGAGAGTAACATGTTAAAAATTATGTTTATTCAAATAGGCATAAATCAGGTTTTATATCCATAAGGGTCTGAGAAGTTGTGGTTTAGATTCCCTCAGCCGATCGCTCGATCATTTGTGCAGCAAACGGTTCTTTATCAGTGTTGCACTAATACTTGGTGCTGGGTTATTCCCCAGTCCCACTGGGGTTTTTCCAGCCTTTCACGGAGACTTTACAAGGTGCAGGGGCTTGGCTCACCGTCAGCATACATGTATTTGCATTTTGAATGCGTCTCCTTCCAACTCTGAAACCATGGAAAGAAGTCATATATATGGAAACCTGAGAGGAATGAGGAGAAAAAGAACATAAACACAGGCAGAAAAAAGAGCTCAATGTCTGTCACCCTTACTAGACTGTTAGTTCAGAGGAGAGCCAGGAGAAGGTGGGCCACCGGGGCTGTGCAATGGGCTCCCTCAATTGCTGCTTTTCGCCCAAAGACCACAAATGAAGCCATTGTTCCCTCATTAAAAACTGGCCTGTTAAAAAGCCAAGTGGCTAATGATGGCGCTGGCCACGAGGGGAGAAGGCAAACCCCACAGGCAGAAGAAGCAGGGGCGAGTGTCACCATGGGCCCTCCTTCCTCCTCGCCAAGACCTGAGTTTTACTGCCCTGTGAGGGACCACCCCAGGGGTCCCCAACACTTCCGATGCCCAGAACCCACAGGAGCACCCGGTTACACTAATTTTTCAGATAGTGGTTTTCCAGGCAGATTTTTGATCGATTTTATCAGGATGCATTTTTCTGTCTCATTTCAAAATTTCATGCATTACTTCGCATAACTTTAAAAAATATGTAAAACAGCCCTGACCCTAAAGGTTACTGTAGCTCAGTGGGTTGAGTGTGTGCCTGCAAACCAAAGGATTGTGGTTCGATTACCAGTCGCGGCACATGCCTGGGTTGCAGGCCAGTTCCCAGCAACCATACATTGATATTTCCCTCTCTCCTTCCCTTCCCCTCTAAAGATAAATAAAATCTTTAAAAAATATATGTAAAACATTTGTTATCTCGATATCTTTTGTAAATGTCCTGCTACAGACAAAAGGTTTTTTTGTTTGTTTTGTTCGTTTTTTTTCCTTGCTGGTCACTAAAAAATGGAACTGCCATCCTCAACAAAGCCAGAAATGGGACCCAGGAGCACAGGACAGAGACAGAGTTACACCAGCCACAGTGCAGAATTTGGGTGAAGCAACAGTGCCCTCCTGTGGCTACAACAAGAACCAGTTACAGAAGAAGCTGACAAAGTGCACGATGATTAAGTAGACAGCCTAGCCCGTTAACAGCACTCTGGTGTGTGCTTAAAAACTTGCCATGACAGCGCTGGCTGGTGCGGCTCAGTGGATTGAGTGCTGGCCTGCGAATTGAAAAATCGCCAGTCAGGGCACGTGCCTGGGTCCCCATTTGGGGATGTGCGAGAGGCAACCGATCAATATATCTCTTGCACATAGATGTTTCTTTCCCATTCTTTCTCCCTCTTTTCCCCTCTCTCTAAAAATAAATAAATAAAGTCTTTTAAAAAACTGCATGACAGTAGATCACATGCTGTGTTCTTATCACAATAATAATAATAATAAATAAAAACGGCAGGAGAAAACTGAGAGGTGATGGATGTGTCTGTGGCATAGACTGTGCCGATGGCTTCAGAGAGACACACTAACCCCCACACTCATAAACTGCATGCATGAAATCTTTACGGTTCCTTGCATGTCTATCATACCTCAGTAAAGCAGTTTCTTTTTTAAGTAGGAAGGTAAATAATAAAGCCAACATATTGAAAAAGTGAACACAGTCTGTAAACCCCTGTAAAGTCTTTAGAGCAGTTATAGACCCTAAAGTTTATGTCTCAAATAAGCAATGTCAAGTATAAAACGTCACATTGTTGCTCCCAGACCGCAACAATGGGATTCGATTGCTGCGCTCACTCTGCAGACCAGCGAGCAGAGGGCCCCGCGGGACCATCTGCCTCCTCGCACAGCTCAGGCGATCCCAGCGCGCCAGTCCAGTGCCACGGCTCTGCCTTTTCTGCACACAATGCTCATACACTTTGTCCTCAAGGGCTGCGGGACAGAAGCCCATTTGTCCCCCAGGGTGGTCCAGGAGCAAAGGAAAATGACTGGAGCCCCTAACATTAGTTTCATCGAGTGCTGAGCTCTCCATTCGCCCATTTCATTTAACCCCCATGGTGACCCTGAAAGACCAAAGGTGTCGTCGGGCGAAGGCAGAACCAAAGTGGTTTTCACTTCACTGGAGCTGGGTCCTAACCACAGACACGCACGGCCTCCTCTCTCTCCCCTGCCCCTCTGCCCCGGGACGTCAGCGTTGGGCACCTGGCACATGTGCAGCAAATTTACAGGAGGAGCAGAAATGAATTGCTTGGTTTGCTTTGCTCCGTGTGGGCAGGTCTGATAAAAGTGTGACAAATGAGAAGCCAGGATTAACTAACTCAAATCAAAATGTTCTTTTAAAATCCATTTTTACTTCTGAAGCATAGTTGATTAAATGTTTTACCAGATCCTTCATTCTGGCACATGATACCCACTAGAGATTGTTACATCAATTCATGAGCAAAATAATGTCTTAATCAAGTTGCTCTTTTAAAACTCGTCGAGACATAGTTTCTTCACTATGTAATGAAGCACTGTTTCCGCAGCTATGATTACATTCCAGATACTGAGAGCCACGCCTCTGCCTGCTAAAATGTCTGCAGTCCGAGTGCCGGGGGCTCCGTGTGCCCTCCAGGAAGGACTCGGAGAGAAAACACAATGAAAAGTCAAGGGAGCATTTAACGTATGACTGTATTCAGCTGTGACATTGTAGTTAAAAACCCAAGACATGAAGACTATGCTAAAGTTTGACATCTTTCTAACAGTTGCCCCTCAGTATGCAGGGGGGATTGGTTCTGGGACCCTCTGTGCACACCAAATGGAGGCTCAAGTTCCTTATATAACATGGCACAGTATTTGCATAGAACCTACACACACCTTCCCACGTCTTTAAATCATCTCTACGTTACTTATAATACCTAATACAGTGTAGCTGCTATGTAAATAGTTGTTATACTGTATTGTTTAGGGAATAATGACAAGAAAAAAGTCTGTATGTGTTCAGTTGTTCAGATGTTCATGTACATTGTAGGCCTAACCATAGAGTACGTGTTAGCAACAATGTAACTTTTTTCCAGACATTTTTGATCCACAGTTGGTTGAATATACAGATTCAACCAGGAGCTATCGAGTGCCAGCCATACTGCGCAATGGTTTCCAGGTGGGAACGATGTCAGTGAGCAGGCGTGCAGCCTCCTTGAGCATGTTACGGTGTCTTCACCAAAACGATCAAACATCGATCGTCTAGAAGCCATCTTACTAGAGTGACCAATAGAACATTTTTCCTGTACCAAACTGGAGGAAAAGGTGCTAACGACAAGGAACAGGGAGCCGCTGTCTTTCCTCTTGTCCTTCTGTGCTATTTGTGCATTCATTCATGTGCATTAATTACTTTGAGTAGTGATAGAGATTTTTAAAAGTCAACTACAAAAATAATTTTTAAAAAAACAAACACCACCACCCATTTAGTATCTCTCAGTGGATCAGAAGCGCCAGCACAGAGTGGCTCAGCTGGGCACTCGGCTCAGGGCCCCCGAGACTGCAGTCAGCATTTGGTCAGCCCCTCTCTTGTCTGGAGGCTCTGAGGAAGATCCCGCCTCATTTCAGGTTGTTGACAGGATTCAGCTCCTTGAGGCTGTACCACTGTGGTCCCATTTCCTAGACACATGACCCCCTTCATCTTCAAGGCAACGATGGTGCATCTAATCCTTCTCAAGTTTAGAGTCTCCAACTTCCCTTCTGTTGCATCTGCCTGATTTCTTCTCCTTCCTTTCTGCTTTTAAGGGCTGGTGCAATGACACTGGGACCACCTGGACAATACAGGGTCATCTCTCTATGAAAGCCAGCAGATCAACGACCTGGGTTATATGTGCAATGTCCTTTTTGCCACATCATATAATATAACCATGGGCATGACATCATAGGGCAGAGACCATGGGGGACAAAATTCTGTCTACCACACAAGCTTACTTAGGGAGATAAAATCAACAGTCCTTGGAAATGGGTTGAAGGGACAGCAATGATCTTCTGCCTCGAAGACAGATGCAGGTGGAGAGAAGTTGTAACCCAGTACCAGGCGACGGGCAACTGTTATTTGTCAGCTAGTGCCATCCTCTGTTGTGTGGGTGGCACATAATTGTGAAGAATGAGAACTGCGTCAGAGAAAGGTTGGACTGAGCTCTAGTCCCAGCTCTGTGGGGTGTTAAAACAAGACCATAGGCCAAAAATGGAGTCACCTATGCTAAGCCTCAAATAGTCAAACCAAGACTTAACTGAATTACACTTTTGGCTCTTCTAGAGATGGAATCCTAAGCCAGTCAATTAGGAATCACCTCATCAACACTCGTTAGGGCGTCTGCCTGATAGGTCCCTGCCATCACCAACCCGCCTTTCGCCTTTTGTAATGTCCTCATCGTCCCTGCTCCTCCCTGCCTGTGAAAGTCCTTCATTTTTGTAAAGCTCCTAAGAGCTCTGTGTTATTTGTTAGATTGAATGCTGCCCGACTTCAATACATTTTTGCTCAAATAAACTCTCAAAATATTTAATACGCCTCAGTTTACCTTTTAGCAGGATCCTTGAGCAGGTCAGTCCACCTCTTGAGGCCTTGGATCCCCAGTTTGTACAAGGGAGTAATTGAACAAAATACACTACAGAGTCAGCACAGAAATAGCTTCATCTCTTAAAATGATCTAATGTTTAGGTTATTTAGAATGACTTTTTCACGAAGTGATACAAAATTCTCAGGTGTCAAACAAAGTGACCATTCACAGAGGACTGCAGTTGATAAGAGTGTTTTATGCTTTGTGATGCCCTAATATCTTGGGCCAGCCAGACGCAACTAGTGGGCCCCGTTTTCCCGATGAGGAACCGAGTCAGAGAGAACCAGAACCTTGCCCGGGGCCACGCCATTGCTCAGTGGTGGTGATGCAGCCTGAACACAGGTCTTGCCGGCCTCCAGTAGAGTGTGAAGCTACCTTTGTTTTTCTCCCACTGTGTGTCCAGTCCCCAGCCCAGCACACAGTAGTCATACAAAAAATATTTGTAGAAGGACTACATAAATGGTTTAACCAATGAATGGATGACTCTTGCAACTGTCTCACAAAGACACATCCCAGGAATGCTCACTGCTCTATACTTGCTAAGACGGAAAAGTCTACCAAAGCATTTTGAATAGATTTTCAACTTGAGTGAAACCCAGATGACTTGCTTTACATTCTCTGAAAAACCCTTTTCCAGAATATTCTGCTTAATCAGAATGTCACTGGATGCCTCATGAAGTAGAACCACGTTCAGACCCTTGAATTAGAAGACAGCTCCTCCGAACCTCCAAACAAGGACCGTCATCAGCACATGATGATTCAAGTTTGCAAATGGCCTGGGTCTCCCTGGGAGCGGGGACCATTCCAGTCTCGAGCACACCAGCATCTCTGTGCTTTTCCTCTCCAGAGAAGTGTTAAATTACCCAAAGACCAAGTCTCCCAAAGGTGACAATTTATTTCTGCTCCTTGGTGATTAACGGATCTGGAAATAACCAGATGTAGGCCATGGGAAAGCCGAGCATGTCCCCCAGCAGGAAGGGTACAGCCCGCAGTGGGCTGTGAGTTCTAAGGGCTG